CCAGCTGTCTGAGGCCCTCCTTCCCCTTTGGCAGCTCCCCCTTAAACTGCCGCTCTGCCCAGGGTTTTTATAGTCCTGCCCCTTCCGGTCAGCTGACTAGCTGGCCAGGCTCAGCATTTAACCTCTTCTTTCCCAGCACTCCGTGCCCAGAAAGTTCTGGCCTTAAAGGGGCGGACGTGCCTTCTAGTAACAGGGCTAGGGTCCCCTGTTACACTAACCTTTCAAGATTGAACCAATTCAGCCTCAGGCTTTTTGACTGTCTGTACTTAGCCTTAGAGGTTCAACAGTTGCCAAGCTCTATTGGGACAATCATGTTAATCATCATTGGCAGTCATCGGTTTCAGGAGACCAGGGAGATTGGGCCTTTGGTGGGTTACTGGCTACCACCACATATTCTTGAGCAGCTGAGAAGTCTGATGCATGACAAGCAGACCCTCCAGCATGTAGCCCATACAAACTTGGTTGAGCTTGCGCCAGCATGCCAAGTACCATCTTGTCTTGCCTGTCTCTGATGTCTCTTCTCCATCTTAACATTTACCCTCTCCATCTTGAAGTGATGTAGGCCCTGCTTCACAGCGGCTTTCTACTCACAGGGGTCCGAAGTGATTGATTCTCAGCGTTGGCTATTGATGCACAGCTTGCTATAGTTTTTCTTGTAGACATCAACAAAACAGAATTTGGGCCATCCAAATGGATGTTTGCCAGTGACCAGCTCACTGTAGAGTATGTCCTTGGGGATTCGGCCATCGCTCATATGATTCACATGTCCTAACCAATGGAGGTGTCTCTGTCTCAGGAGCACAAACATACTGGGTATACTGGCCCATTCCAAAAGAGCAAAGTTGGAGATTTTGTCATGCCGTGTTATACCAAGATTACGGAGGAGACTGAAGATGGAAACTGTTCGGTTTTCCTTCTGCCTTGGCATAAGGAGTCCATGTTTCGCTGCCATACAGTAGAGAGTTACGTATGCAAGCACTGTAGATGGAGTGAGCATTCTGGTTTTTTTTCCAAACTCTCTTTTGAAGTTTAGCCATGGCATTGCTTGCCTTTCCAATGCGAGCATGTATTTCGGCTTCTAAGCCAAAATTTTGTGAGACAGTGGAGCCCAAGTAAGTAAATTGTTCACCCACCTAATAAGGCTGGTAAAAAGGGGCAAGACTGCTACTCAGAGGTCAAGTCTGAGAGGGTTTGGACAATTTGGTTTAACATAATATAAGATGCAGAAATTCAGGCCTGTCACCTAAGAGGTGTACTATGGGATCTAAAATGCAGCTTGCCCATAACTATGACAATAAGTAGGATGTTTGAGCATCCAGGTAATGCTTTTGATCCCAATCCTACAATCTGCTGGGCTCCTCTCCACCAGGGAAATAGGAAGTTCTTTTAACTTCAGAAAGGGGGAAAAAACATACATTTGCATTCTTTTCTTCCTAAGAGAAGAAAAAACATTTTTCCTTCTATGTATTAATAGGGTTTTACCTCCATTTTTTTAAACTTCAGTTTACAATACCTACATCTACATAAGAGATATTTGAAATTATGATGATTAAATTTGGAGCCTCCTATTTTTATTGCAAAATGCAAAATCTTAAAGAGGGAAGTTTTGAAAAATTCATGGGTCTACAAGCTTAACAAAGAAAAGGCACATGTAGAATCATAGGTGAGTGACTTGAGAGAAGAGCATGGCTTATTGATGTAATCCTGGCTTTCCATCTTCTGAGTGACTAAGGCTGTACAGTGAATGGACTGCACCTACATAGACCACTAGTCCCTTGGGCCATATGCTGCACAAGGTCCCCTACAGCACCACAACCCCCACACCTCCACATGCACTCCCTCCACCATGCCACTCCCCTCCCAAAAGGGTTTCCCCTCACACATGGCTTGGCTTTCCTCCTGCCCCTCCCATGAGGGTTCTCAGGAAAGCTGGAGGAGGGAGGAGGAGTCTGGAGACACCAGAAGCAGCAACCAGAGTGATGGGAAAAGAGATGGCCAACTAGGAGCCTGTCATCTGGGTGTTAACCCCACATGGACCAGATGGGGCCATCAGTTAGACAGCCCTGCTGTAATCAATTATCATTAAGGATGTTAGAATATAAAAACCTGAAAGATGAGCAGGGCTTTGGATAATACGGTCCTATATAAAGCCAGCTAGTTTGTCTTGCTGTTCAGTCTTCATGGCCAAAGATCTCCCATTCTGATTGTTTTTCATTCCAGTGACAGTATATGTGAAAGTTGCTGATCAATACTACTGCAAATGTTATTGGTATTCATTAATTCTCAAATATAAGAATATGAAACATGCCAAAAAGAAACCAGCAGAAGAAAACAAGTGACAGCATGGGCTGAAGCACTGAACACTCACAACTCTTCTAATGTAAAATATAAATGTCAAGAGTTAATCAGCAAGATAGAAAAGATTGATTCCCATCTCAAAAAATGCAAAACATTTTTCCCCAATTCTTAAAAACCTGACCTGGCACTGAACAAAAATCAGCCTACTTACAAAAAGAAAACAGAATGCTGATGATCCCATATGCAGGAGTACTATGCCATCATCCCTCCTGAAAAATAACTGTAATAAGAATAATTGAAGTCTTTTTTTCAGGACTTCCAGCTGCTCTTCATCCTCAACTCTTTTCTGGAAGAATCTTGTTCATCTTTAACTCTCAAAAAATGACAAAAAACAAATGTGTGATTGAAAAGCAAAAAGTTTCAGGCATGAGAGGAAACCCTCTTTTATTCTAACATTGCCTGGCACAAAATGAACAATTCAAAGAATGAATTCAAGTGCCTTCTCCTGAATATACAGCTCTAGAGATTTAAATTCAAAGACCCACTACTAGCTTCTATAAGTGAAGAAATAGTAGAAAAAATATTGATGAGCTAATTGTTCAAATGTGAAAAATGACTTACTAACGGCTACACAAAGAAAAGTGAATTCCCACTTAATGCCAAAAAGGACATTCATAGACTACTGTGAACAACTTCCTGAGATACCATCCAGCAATGCAGACGGGAAGAGGTTTTTGTATTTTGCTCAGAAAACAATAATTTAAAGGATGAAATAATTTCTGATACGTAAACAACCTACATAGTATATACGCTCTCTAAACCTAATTCAGAAAGTAGTAATATCTAACAGTTCATAAGCACATTAGGAACATTAAAAAATGTTCATGCACCATTAACTTCATGACTGACAGTCTGAAAATGACTTAAAGTGTATCTGTGTTTTTATCCAACTATGATAAATATACTAAAATTTGTAATGAGCACAAGGAGAATTTTAGTTAAAATACAGCAATGCCTTTTTCCACAATGAGAAGTACTAGACTAGAATAAAGTTATCTGAAGTCTTTAGAAAGCCATGACTGATCAATGGACTGAAGAGAATACTACAATGGCATCAGTGGTAATCTAGTTTGATAAAGTAAAAATGAACTAACGCTACATAAGGAGAAAAATGAAAGAACAATCCAGAAGTGACTAAGGGACATTACTTAGGCAATATAACTGATCCCAAATTGAAAGCTCATAGGTTAAATCAAGAACAAGGAGAGGATGAAAAACGTGTCTTGTGCAACATAATTGTGTGCTGCTGCTTTCCTACCTAGTCTATGAAGGAGAATATCCAGATATCTACTTTGTTTTTTCTGTATCCCAGTTCCTTTGATCAAAATGGCAGAAAATAGTGGAAGTCAGAGCTCAGACATCTGGATGAGCTTAGAATTTTATTTTTAAAAGATTTTCAGCTCCTGTCCAACCAGTTTAGCACCAACACAGTGTGTTAGCTGAACGTGTAGATGAGTCTGGTCAAAAAGGGACTTTATACACACCACAAAATTGGCCTTTAAAGTGACTTAAATGCCCTTTTGTACCGCTTTAATGATGTTGCTGTTTGCACATTCAGTGGCATATTCCACTTGAATGGAATTGCTGTTTGCATGCTTGGTGGTATATTCCACTTTAAATGATTTTGGTATGTAGCAAGATAAAACACCTCCAAGTTGTTTTAGTTTGCTACCTAACAAAGTGCAACAGTGCATGGGGTGCTGGAAGCCAATGTGCTTGAGGCTTGGCAGGCCCCGCGCAGCTCAGGGGCTGTGGGACCCAGTGGCAGCCTGTGCAGGCAGGCTGCACCGAAAAAAAAAATGCGGCGAGCCTGATCTATTTTTTTTCTCCCCAGAGCCTGCCTGCCTGCCTGAGTTGTGTTGGGGCCTGGTGCTTCCTTTCATGGCTGGGGTGGCCCCAAGGACTGCCCGGGCCGGGTGCCACAGGGCAGGTGCCGCCTGGGGCCCCCCCATGCAGCTCAGGGACCACTCTGCCCGCCAGCAGTTCGCCCCCCACCACCAAAGAGACAGGTAAGGATCGGGCCCCCACCCTTGTGTACATGCCACAGGGGTTTAGTTCGTTTTAATTCTCCCTAAATTGAAATGGTGTTTTTAAAAACCCACCATTTTAATTTAGGGAGAACTAAACTGAATTAAACCCCATGGTGTGTACAAGCAGCCAAACTCTGTAACTATAACATATCAGGTGCTAAGGAAGCAAGTAAACTGCCAAAAGTATCTAGGGTCTCAAATGCCAGTTACCTAACTAGCAGACTGGAAACTTTGGTGACCATATCCTTTGCTTTAGTTACAGAGTTGCAAGTTTTTCATTTCAGAAAATATATGTACCTTTTTTGGTTTGGAATTAATTTGATAAAATATATATTTATTCTTCATTATATGCATTTTATTTTTAGGTTCATAAACCTTTTCCATGGTGTTTTTTCTTTGTGACAGACTACGCATACAACAATCATAAATAAGCTATTTAAATCTCACTGCAAGCCAAGCTTCTCTGCAATTTGTATCATCCCATCATCCAGTTCTTAGGTTTTATGCAGACGTGATGAGGCTGGCTTTCACAGGCCTGCACTGGCACAGAGAAAACTAAACATAATATTTGGTTCAAAGAGTTTCACCCAAACACTGAAAAAATAGTTTTACCTGAGGTAGCACTGCTGGTCCTTGTCCTGCCAACCTCTGCAAGGAGCTGACCTGAGGAACTTTAATGGGCACTGCAGTGATAGTTCCCAATGTCTGTCAAAAGAAAACAAAGGAACAATAATTTTTAAAAAATCACTTCCAAAAAACTCTGTAACATACAAACCAACTCCTCTCTGCCCTTGACTCACCACCATTGGACCTAGCTCTACTACTGAGTAGTCTGCATAGAGCCCTCTGCCTTTTGAGGCACAGAGTCAGTCTTGCTTTACTCTTCTTCTAAATCCATCCTTAACTCTGACCTCATATATCTGTGGAGCATTTTGTGACACCAAGTAGGAAGGATTTATCTAGTAATATATCCCATCATAATTATGTCTGAGGTATTTTAGTGCAAATGGAGTTTTGCTGGTGCACTGCCAATATGAAGTCTGCCCGTGTAGTAACTTGTTTACAAGATATATCCAAGCAAAGGTGAAATGTGGTGCCCTAAACCTTCAAAATACACATTTTTAAGACACTGCATTTCCCATTGCTCTGGAAACCCTTTAAAGTTCACAGAGAGTCAGAAGAGTGTATTTTACTTTTACTGGAAAAAATTAAGGTTAGTAAATACTGAATTTTTAAAGTCTCATCAAACCCAAAACCTGAATGCAACCTATGGATACACTTTTGAGCCTCCATAATATAAAGTTTGGTTAAGGCACTAAATTCATTTTGAGCCAAAAAAACTGCTAGCACCATTGAAGTTTATTTTCCTATACTTTCTTCTCTTATCTGTGTCATAATTGCTTTAAAAAAGAACAGCATTAAAAAGAAATATTTTACTCTGTATGAACAAATTCTTCATTGTAACCTACATAAAGGGTGCATCTACACCAGATGCTACTGCATAGTGGTTACTTGTATAAACAAGTACTAAATAAATGCACAGTAATTCTAGTTACTGCGCAGTAGCGCCAGTGAACACCTTTTTTGTGATGCTATTGCACAGAAGCATTGCATCATGGGTTTTGCCATGCGATGCTACTGTGCAGTTGTATCGGGCCACTGTGCAGTTAGCATCTCATGTAGATGTGCCCAAGATTTATTTTATATCAGTTGGGTAACAGGGTGATTTTTGATACCCATTAATTTCTTTAAAGCTTGTGATCACAATTGGCTGACAGCAGGTTACGGAGCAATCCACAGTTCAGTTAGGAAAAATCCCACTTCATTTGTTCACCTCATCTACTATTGTCCACTGCTATACAGCTGCATCCTTACATAAGCAACACAGATTGAAATTTGAATTGGGAGTAGAAGATTGTTATAGACAAAAGCATGTGTCAATTTTATCTCTGCAGTCAGTACTTCTGTAGCACGTGTTCATTTTCATTTTCTCTAATCTATGCAATTTATGGAAGAACAAGTTCTTCTTGAGTTTGAACTGGAGACATCCCTCTGAGGAAAAGCAAAACCTGCTAAAATGCTACCTTGAATGTCTGTGAAAGAAAATCATCTCAATCCATGTATATGCATTACAGTATCAATTCTCTTAGGTTTAAAAAAGAAGATTAATCCAAAGAATGAGTGAGTGGAAGGAGAAAAGAAAAATTCCTTTAAAGCCACTTTTTGCCATTCTCTTAGATAATTTATCTGAAACCTATGGACAATTCATTCTGGTTATATTTTCAAATGAAGCTATCATTAGTCTTGCCACCTGCACTCAGAAAAAAATGCTCTAAATTTATTTCCCTGAAGAAACTGAGAGTATGGTGACTACCTCAAGAGAACAAAAACAAACCATGGTATTCTTGGGTTATGAAATTTTCAGTGTAAAAAATTCATCTTAGTGCTTACCAGCTTTTTGATACTAAAGACCTATTTAAAGCAATGATGTCTGGTTAAAATTTGTACACTGAAGTGGGGAACGGAGAAGAATCCAAAATTTCTTAACTCAAAATAACAACTTCACTGTAACATATTAATATAGAGAAAATAATAAAAATGTATTTTACTTCTTGCTGTGTCCTTACTGGTTCTCTCTCCTTCCTCCCCGCCCCCTTCCCCCCTCAGTTTGAACAATTAAAATAATTCAAAGAGATAAGATACACTAAATGAATAATAAGAAATAAATATTTTGCATTTATCCATAATGCCTTTCGTCTCAAATTCTTTTGTGTTAGTATTATCATCTCCTTTTACAGATGAAGAAAATGAGATTCAGAAGACAAGTGATGTACTCAGTGAAACAATAGCAGAACTGGGAATACCAACTGAATCTTGTAATTCCACAGTCTCATTTCACCCCAGTTGGTACTCTAGGTCCACAATGAGCCAAAGTTAAAGTGGGGTGACTTACTTGTGAATCTGACTCTAACAACTAGACCACACTGCCTCCAGGAGGACAGGAGTGGGTGCAAAAATACAGAGACCTTGATTATAAACATCATACATGCAATGAAGTCAAGGAGTTGGAGCTAATAAAAGGGGTACCCTGGATCAGCACCACATTCTTCCAGTTGCATCTGAATTATACCAATGTAACCCTGTTCTGCTCCAGTTCTAATCAAGTTTGCCTCTATGAAGACTGTAACCAAGGCCGCTTTCCCCACAAATGAGAGTGCTTTCTGTCTTCCAGAAATATCAATTATTTTCTCTCACAAACAACCCAAGCATGCCATGGAGAGCCTAGATTGAGTTTAGACTCATGTCAATCACTGGAGCTGTTCTATCTCTTTCTTCCTTCTTGGGCTTTTTCTCTCCCACTTTGTCAAAAGAGCAAGCTGCTGCACATTCTTATAAACCTTTAATTAACAAGCTGAAAAGACATTTTTCTGGCAATGCCTGACCTTTAAGCACTTTGTATGAATGTATCGATACCAGCAGAAACAATAATTTAAAAGGTTATTTTATGAGTTCTGAATAGTTTATAGCAGCACTTTTGTCAAGATAAATGAGTTTCTTATTACTACATTTACAGCTTTAAGCATTTTAATAAAAAAGGACCATAAAAGTCAAAGATAACTTCAAATCTCTCCTTTATCTGCAGTATACATAGGGATTCTGGTGACCCTGTGAAATACCTACACTGTTACGCACAATAAGCTTGTAAAGACTGAGGCAAGTCAGTAATGGAAGGAAGGGTAAGAACCAAGTTTCAGCTCATCATGAAATTGCCCATGGCTACAAACTTTATACTGACTAATCCTTATAGGGCATGGGGTATTCCCACAATCACTATTCTGGATCCTTGGCTGAAACAGGACCTTCAACTCTAACATCACCCATGCATGAAAGTTAGTGGCTACTGAATACACATAATGGTAGCCCTTTCCCTCACCTTGCCAAACTACTTCCTCTCTGTGGGTCACAACAATGAATAGAATCCACCTCACTTACTTTCAGAGGGAGGCTCCTTGCATGGCCAATCCAAAGATGCACACCCAGAGAAACTGGGGCCCACTGAGTTTGTGATCTTCTGGAACCTCAGGGCATCTATACACGTGTTCTGGCGGTGACAGAGGGAGGTGCTTTACTCAGAACGGCTCTGAGAGCTGCTCTAATTAAAGCACCCAGAGTGTCTCATGTATCCCCATGCTTCTAAATGATGGCAAGGACACTTTATCTAAAGCTCGTTCAACAAGCAGCTTTAGAAAAAGTTCCCCCACCACCACTTTGAAGTACAGGGATGCTGATACATGAGATGCATAGGCAGACCAGAGCACAGTAATTACCGTGCTCCAGCAGACTCAATTAATCGAGTCTGCTCTGACGTGCTGTAATTATAGCACATCACAGCAGTTTCCCAGCTCGTGTATAGGTACCCTCAATTTCCTAGATAAATGTCATGCGTTAGTACAATTTAAAGGATTGAATTAAAGATTGTAATCATCCAAAGGGAGTAGGGGAAAATAAACTATGCAAGGGTCCCTAAGTAGTTAGAGTTTGATCATTCAAAAAAGGCCCTGTAAAACAATTGGATTTAAAGACAAACAATAAAATCTGGCTGCTGCCTCTGTGTAACTACAGTATGTGTATAGGAAAGGTTTATTAGATGATGTTTAGAAAAGTCTTAAAAATTAAATAATCGCTTTTATCCAATGTTGCTGAGATACTACTGCAATAATTTGTTAACTTTTTACCACCTTGTTTTTTGTTTTGGGGTTTTTTTTTACAATTTGTTATCTCTCTTGTACTAAACTAATGCTCTCTTTGAAGGAAGCTAGTCTCAAAGAAAAGTATTCTTAGGGAAAATAAGTGGAGAAGAAATGGCATATGAAACAGAAAATGCAAAAGAAGAAAATGTGGCATGAGGAATACGGAATCTAGGACAGAAAACCTCTGAACAAAATTATAGGTTAAAAGACACCATTTGACCTGCTGTTGCAAAACGTGTACAGAGGCCAAAATAATTGGATTATGGGCCAGGAACAGGTTCTCTCTCTTGTCTATATTGTTAGGATTCTAGTTTAGCAATTCCCTGTGCATTTTGACTTGTCACTGAAATACAGCTATATTTTGCACAAATCTCTATTTTCAGTGATGAATGTTACAACCGTTACATTTTTAATACCTATATTATAGGATCATAGAAAAGTAGGGCAAGAAGGAACCTCATAGTCATCTAATCCAGCCCCCTGCTCAAAGCAGGATCATCTTTGATTAAACCATCCCAGCCAAATGTCTGCTCAATTTTCTCTTGTAAATATGTAGGGATGGAGATTCCACAACTTCTCTGGATAGCCCGTTCCAATACTGAACCACTCTTATAGTGAAAAGTTCTTCCCAAACTCCAACCTAAATTTCCTCTGCTGCAGTTTGAGGATATTCCTCCATTCTTTTTATTATCACCCTTCAGAAGACTGTTATCCAATCCTCCCTCAAATTTCTTTCTTCTAGGCTAAACAATCCTACTTTTTCCAGTATTTCCTTATAGTATTATCCACGCCTCTACAAACATTTTTTTCATTCTCCACTGGGCTTTTTCTAACCTGTCCACATGTTTCTTGAAGCACGTAGCCCAAACTGGACACAGTACTCCAAAGGAGACCTCACCAGTGCTGAACTACAGTGGAAGAATCACTTCTCTTGATTTGCAAGTGGCACTCCTA